AAGATAGGGCCATGCGCCCCTCCCCTCTAGTCCGAATTGGACTAGGGAAGGGGGCGGTGCCCCCCTTTCCTTCTCCCTTCTCCTCTCCTTCCTTCCCCTTCCTCCTCCTAGTTGGACTAGGAAAGGGGGAGTCCTGCTCCTACTAGGAGGAGGACTCCTCCCCTCCTTGGCGCGCCCCAAGGGCCGGCCGGCCTCCCCCCTTGCTCCTTTATATATGGGGGCATGGGGGCACCCTAGAACACACAAGTTGATCATTGATCCCTTAGCCATGTGCGGTGCCGCCCTCCACCATAATCCACCTCGGTCATATCGTTGCAGTGCTTAGGCGAAGCCCTGTTCTGGTAGCTTCATCATCACCGTCATCACGCCATCATGCTGACGAAACTCTCCCTCAACACTCAGCTAGATCTAGAGTTCATGGGACGTCACCGAGCTGAACGTGTGCAGATCGGGGAGGTGCCGTACTTTCGGTACTAGGATCGGTCGGATCGTGAAGACGTACGACTACATCAATCGCGTTGTCGTAATGCTTCCGCTTATGGTCTACGAGGGTACGTGGACAACACTCTTCCCCTCTCATTGCTATGCATCACCATGATAGATCTTGCATGTGTGTAGGAATATTTTTGAAATTACTGTGTTCCCCAACAGGGGCGCCCCCCAAGCCCAATCCGAATTGGGGAGGGGGGCTGGCCCCCCTTTCCTTCTCTCCCTCTTCCCTTTCCTTCCACTCCTAGTTGGACTAGGAAAGGGGGGGAACCTACTCCTAGTAGGAGTAGGTTCCCCCCCTTGGGGCGCACCCCATGGGACTGGCCGGCCCCCTCCTGCGCTCCTTTATATACGGGGGAGGGGGGCACCCCATAGACACATAAGTTGATATCTTAGCCGTGTGCGGTGCCCCCCTCCATAGTTTTCCATCTCGGTCATATTGTCGTAATGCTTAGGCAAAGCCCTGCGTTGGTAACTTCATCATCACCGTCAGCACGCCATCGTGCTGACAAAACTCTCCCTCGGCCTCAGCTGGATGTAGAGTTCGAGGGACGTCACCGAGCTGAACGTGTGCAGATCGCAGAGGTGTCGTGCGTTTGGTACTTGATCGGTTGGATCGCGAAGACGTTCGACTACATCAACCGCGTTACTTAACGCTTCCGCTTTTGGTCTACGAGGGTGCGTGGACACACTCTCCCCGCTCGTTGCTATGCTTCTCCTAGATAGATCTTGCGTGATCGTAGGTAAAATTTTGAAATACTACGTTCCCCAACACGGTGCCCCCCTCCACAGTTTTACACCTCGGTCATATTGTAGTAGTGCTTAGGTGAAGCCCTGCATCGATAACTTCATCATCCCCGTCAACACGCCGTCCTGCTGACGGAACTCACCCTCGGCCTCAGCTGGATCAAGAGTACGAGGGACATCACCGAGCTGAACGTGTGCAGATCGCGGAGGTGCTGTGCGTTCGGTACTTGATCGGTTGGATCGCGAAGACGTTTGACTACATCAACCGCGTTACTAAACGCTTCCGCTTTCGGTCTACGAGGGTACGCGGATACACTCTCCCCGCTCGCTGCTATGCTTCTCCTAGATAGATCTTGCGTGTTCGTAGGATTTTTTTTGAAATACTACGTTCCCCAACACATTCTCAATACAGAATCAATATCGTTAGATGCGTCAAATTTAATTTTCATGCTGTATTACCTTTAGTATAGTAGATGCTGATATTGTTTGAAAGCAATATAATGTACATAAGTACACATATGTAAAGAAATACTCCCTCCGTCTGAAAAAAACTTTGTCTGAAGTCAAACTTCATAAAGGTTGACCGATTTTATGAAGAAAAACATCAACATGCCCAATACAGAATCAATATCATTAGATGCGTCAAATTTAATTTTCATGTTGTATTAACTTTAGTATAGTAGATGCTGATATTGTTGAAAGCAATATAATGTACATAAGTACACATCTATAAAGAAATACTCCCTCCCTCTGAAGAAAAACTTGTCCATCAAATGAATATATCTAGCACCAAGTTAGTGCTAAATACATCCATTTGAGAGACAAGCTCGAGACAAACTTTTTCGGACGGAGGGAGTACGATATTTTTTTAGATCATTATATATTAGTGATCTTTTGGATCACACATTTCTTTATGGAGGAAGTATATAATATTAAATACTCATAGGTAAATGGAGTATAGTATTAATGTGAGGAAAATATAGTACAATAATAATTTACTACTACTACAAATAATCAAAAAATAGTCAATGCGTCGGCATCGGCCCAATCATCGTTACAGCAAATTGAAAACTTCGAGGACTCAGTTTACGGACGTAGATCTCGACACCCCTCCCCCCTCCTCCCTCCAACGGCTCTCTCCTCCTGTCCAAACCCCGATGACATCGCCTCACTAACCCCATTCCATCCTCCATCGCCGCCGCCCGCTTGCCCACCGCCGTCGCCGCCATGCCCAGGCCATCCTCCAAGACACCCTCCTCCACGTCCCAGCCGAGGAGGGCCTCCCCTTCACCCACCCCTTCCCCGGCCATCGTGCCCAGGCCCAAGAACCCCAGCGCCGTGCCGCCGTAGCCCCCTGTCGGACCTCAACTCCGGGGACGCCTCCGCCGCGCGGGCCAGATGCTTCCGCTTTCGCTTCCTCCTCTCCTCCGCCTCGGGCTCCAAGCCGCGGTGCGCGTCCACCCCGAGGACACCCGCGTCCGGCCTGATGCCCCGGAAGGAGGCCAAGAGGCGCGCGGTGGGTGTTGGCCGCCTGCCGGATCAGGCGTTGAGGGCCAAGGCAGAGCAGTGGCGGGATCATGAACCCGGAAGAAGGAGGGACGAGCCGATCGGTTGTCGGATCAGGAGGGTGGAGCCGGAGAAGAAGCAGCAGGGGCTGGCGAGGAGGCAGCAGCAGGAGGAGCACCTCGAGGCCGTGACGCCAAAGAGGAAGGCGAACGCGGGGTCCAACCCGTCCTCTGGAGAGACGCCCCCGAGCAACTTATTCTTCTATTGCATGCAACGATGCACATAAACATGATATCAACAAAGTTTTTTATTTTCTTTTGGCGGCTTGATATCAACAAAGATCTTAAATTTGAATTAAAAATGTTTTATCTCCTAAAGCACCTCTTTCAACTTTAACTTTCTCGTGGCAACATCTTTTAGACTAAATTCCACGTTGGTATGTTTCTACAACTTTTTTTGCTGGTACTTAGATTATTATTACTCATCGAGTTATTAGCTAGTTAGTTGGCGGATTAAATTTACTTAGTTGTATGATTGCGAAAGTCAATATAGCCTAGATGGTCTATGGATATGAATGTGATTTTTATTGTTTCTGTGTTCTTTTACTGCCATGGCATTATGAATAAATATATAAGAAATTTTCTCACCCAAAATATGACTTGCTTCATGGTACTTGTTTGAGTTGATACCTCGCCATTATGAAATTAAATGTAATTAATACAATGAATGTTATTTGCAAGATTAATCGTAATTAAAGTTATTTTCAAATTGTTGGTGATGCGGTGAATGGAGTACATCATTGATACTCTCTTTGGTCCTTTCTACTCCGCATATGAGATTTGTCTAAAGTCAAACTTTATAAAGGTTGACCAATTTTATGGAGAAAAACATCAACATTCTCAATACAGAATCAATATCATTAGATGCGTCAAATATAATTTTCATGTTGTATTAACTTTAGTATAGTAGATGCTGATATTGTTTGAAAGCAATATAATGTACATAAGTACACATTTGTAAAGAAATACTCCCTCCGTCTGAGAAAAAAACTTTGTCTGAAGTCAAACTTCATAAAAGTTGACCAATTTTTTGGAGAAAAACATCAACATGCCCAATACAGAATCAATATCATTAGATGTGTCAAATTTAATCTTCATGTTGTATTAACTTTAGTATAGTAGAGGCTGATATTGTTGAAAGCAATATAATGTGCATAAGTACACATCTATAAAGAAATACTCTCTCCGTCTTAAAAAAACTTGTCCATCAAATGAATATATCTAACACTAAGTTAGTGCTAGATACATCCATTTGAAAGACAAGCTTGAGACAAACTTTTTCGGACGGAGAGAGTATGAGATTTTTTTAGATCACCGTATATTAGTGATCTTTTGGATCATACATTTCTTTATGGAGGAAGTATATAATATTAAATACTCGTAGATAAATCATGCGATAGTATAGTATTAGTGTGAGAATAAGTATAGTACAACAATAATTTACTACTACAAATAATAAAAATAATAATCGATGCGCCGTCATCGGCCCAATCGCCGTTACAGCAAAACAAATTGAATGCTTCGAGGGCTCAGTTTACGGACGCAGATCTCGATACCCCTCCCCCCTCTCCTCCAACGGCTCTCTCCTCCTGTCCAAACCCCGATGACATCGCCCCATTAACCACATTCCATCCCCCCTCGCCGCCGCGCGCCCTGCCCACCGCCGTCCTCGCCGCCGCCATGCCCAGGCCATCCTCCAAGGCACCCTCCTCCACGTCCCAGCCGAGGAGGGCCCCCCCTTCGCCCACCCCTTCCCCGGCCACCGCGCCCAGGCCCAAGAACCCCGGCGCCGCGGCGCAGCGCCGCCGCAGCCCCCTGTCGGACCTCAACTCCGGGGACGCCTCCGCCGCGCGGGCCGGATGCTTCCGCTTCCTCCTCTCCTCCGCCTCGGGCTCCAAGCCGCGGTGCGCGTCCACCCCGAGGACCCCCGCGTCCGGCCCGGCGCCCCGGGCGGAGGCCAAGAGGCGCGTGGCGGCCGCTGGCCATCTGCCGGATCAGGAGTGGAGGGCCAAGGCGGAGCAGGGGGCGGATCGTGACCCCAGAAGACGGAGGGACGAGCCGATCGGTTGTCGGATCAGGAGGGTGGAGCCGGAGAAGAAGCAGCAGGAGCGGGCGAGGAGGCAGCAGCAGCAGGAGGATCACCTCGAGGCCCTGACGCCAGAGAGGAAGGCGGACGCGGGGTCCAATCCGTCCTCCGGAGCGACGCCCCCGATCCACGCTTCGATCTCGCCGGAGGTGCTGGCCGGCGGCGCCGCGACGCCGGCGTGCTTCGCGGCCGGGCACCACGTCGTGCCAGGCGTCCGCGACCGGCGCAAATGCCGGGCGAGGGGCATCCTTGACATCGCCGGCGAGGGCACCAGCGAGGAGCTCGACTGTGAGCCGTCCCGGGCGTCGATCCACTGGCTGTCCTCGCCATCGGGCGAGGCCGGTACGTGTTCGACGAAATGCGGAAAGGAGGCGTCAGTCATCTGGCTGTCATCTCCACGCGATGAAGGTGCCACGTGTTTGTTCGACGACGAGATCTTCCTGCCCAAATGCTCATCGGAGGACGCATTCTGGGAACTCTCCCCGGGGCTGTTGGGTTCGCCGGTCCTTGGAGGTCTGCTGGATTTTGACACGCCGGCGTCGGAATTGTCCGAAACGACACCATCGTCCGGATTCCTTCCGGTGCAGAGGACACCGAGCACTGGTGACAGCATTAGCCCCTTCTCGCTTATTGTGAAGAGGGCATCATCGCATTCCTCTAGGCTAAGCTCCTTGTGTGCCCAGCGAGGACTGGGCAGCAGCTATGGCAACGATTCGGCAACAGATCCGACACGGATCTCTGGCGAGTCATGGTCTGAAAATGGCAGCACAGGCAAGTGCTCAGGGTTAGCGAGGGTTAGCAGTCGCCCACTAACGAGGATGGACCCAGTGGTAGAATGCCTCGAGATGATGAGTTTGTCCCCAAGGCCCGGGGATGCTGATTATGATCAAAATGATGAAGATGGTGCCCTGCCTGCTACATTGCCTGAGCTCAGCTTCCAGTTTGCTGGTGCTTCGACACCTCTGGAATCCATAGACCTGAGCTCTTTCAAGAGATCTCCCTGTGACACAGAATTGAAGGGGAAGGAGGCAAGTTTCCGGAAGCCGGCATCAACCGAGGCTCGGATATCTTGGCGAGAAGGGCTAGTCAGCAGAATATTTGATATGGGTGATCTGGATTGCTGCCAATGGTTGTCTGATGATGAAGATGGACCACTTATCCCGGGCAATGTCGAGGCGTTGCCCGATACAGCTTTGCAGCCAGGCAGTGCTTGTTGCCTGCAGGAGGATAGCAAGCAATCTGGCTTCGGCTCCGTCGAGTTTGGTTGCAGTGACGGTGGATTAAATTATGACAGTAGCAAGGCCACTCCAAACTCTGTTCAAGTGGCAGAGTCTATGAGAGCAGAAGGATTCGAGCTCGTCTCGTCCGATGACTCGGATTGGACTCTCTTGTACAAGAATGGCTTGTTTGAAACATGAGGTTAGAGGGTTATATCCTTGTTCAGATGTTGCGTACTACTCCCTCTGTAAACTAATATAAGAGCGTTTAGATAACTAAAATAGTGATCTAAATGCTCTTATATTAGTTTACGGAGGGAGTACTAGTTAGTTTATGTCAGGAGGAAGCACATGATTTTGGGATCTTGTGTTTGCCCCTCCCAGCCTTGTATACTTATTTTCAAGATATGAGTTCATCTTTATCTTTTTTCGGCAGCGCATGTAAATATTATTGTTGGCAGATGAACATTTGTTTCTGGAATATAATCACTCCTGGTTCATTTTAGAACCCAGTGAGCTCACAGTTCAGAGTAACATGAGTATGGGCGTATGGCAGCAGCCACTGGCTGGGTGGCATTCGACATGTAATTCTTCTGAACAAGTACGCATCAGAAAGCAGTAATCTGGAGTTTACGGTGTTCTGATATTCTGATATTCTTGGAAGAACATCACAGTCCTTCATAAACTTGTTTCTCTAAAATTCAGTATCTGCGGATATTCTTGGAAGAACATCAGAGTCCTTCATAAACTTGTTTGTCTAAAATTCAGTATCTGCGGATATTCTTGGAAGAACATCACAATCCTTCATAAACTTGTTTGTCTAAAATTCAGTATCTGCGTCCTTGAGGTTCTTGGAAGAACACACCCACACGGCATGGTTTGTTCTCTTGACAGGCATGCATTGGGTCCTGAGGCGCCTTGAGGTTTCTTCCATTGGTTTCATTTCTGAAAGAAACCTGAAGTTTGCTCCTACCCAGTTCAGTTCCATATAAAATGAAAGGGTTTGTCCTGTGATTTTTTTTATTGAGTTGGGGTTCGTCCTACTCGCAAAACAAAAAAAAAGAGTTGGGGGTTCGTCCTTTGATGATGTGCAGAAATTGTACGATGATTTGCATATGGTACCCAACAAATTTGGTGAAAATGGAAAATTTTGACCCTTTTCTAAAACTAAAGCAACAAATAAATCGAATCTGCACAAAATTCATGAAATGACCCTTTTACACGACGCCCCGGGCTGGGGGTGCCATGCTCCTGGCCTGAGGCGCCATACTTGATTGGCGCGGCAGCTACCTCGACAAAAGGGTCAATGCCATCTAGAATGACATTTCAGGTTCAGGCGTCATGAAAAAAAAGGTCATTCTGTGAAAATATTTTCAGATCCGGTTCATTTCGTGCCGAGTTTCAGAAAAGGGTAATTGCGGGTGCGGACTGCGGACGGCCGGCCCTGACGTAGGTGCGCCAGCGTTGCACCTGCACTGCTGCGATGACTGCAGCCGACGCACCGTGGCATGCATCAATACGAGCGTGCGCGGCTGCCGTAGGTGCGGTGGGAACAAGAGAGCGTGCGCTTCGCCGTCCCGCTGTCACGTGGGCCCCGCCAAACCAGCATCAAACCCTATCCCACTCCTTTGGTCTTGGCGGCTTTGGCGCTTTGCATCTCTCCCAGCCCCGGTCGTCGTCGGCGCGGCCGCAGAATCCGAGATTAGGGTCCGCGGTCGAGAAGAAGGAGGCGGCGATGATGGCCTGCCGGCTACGGCTCCACCAGCGTAGGAGCTCCCTCCCCCTCCTGAATCTTCTTCTCTATCCTTTTTCTTTTCCTTTTTTCGTTTTGCATACACCAGACCAGAGCTCCGCCGCCGCAATGTTTTGCCCGTCTTCTTCGTTTGCTGCCTTCCATGAAATTTCTCTGTATTCATGAAGTTAGAGCACCCATCCCTCAAATATTACTTGAGCTGTTGCAAATGTTTCTTCTGGGGAGTATATCGTTCCGTCGTTTAATCAACCAGGTGCTCTTTTCTTCCACAGTTAGGCTGGTTGGAGTCCGGCCGACCTGCTGCTTTCCGTCCAGGAACTTGGCGGCTGTCAAATCCCAGAAAATCCAGCCCCCAAAGAAGTAAGCTCCCAGCTTTTCTATGTTTTTCCTCCTTATTTCAAGATTTCTCATTTCAGTGCTAGGGAATAACTGCCAGTGCCTTGTAGATTGATTAACAGTTGGCAATGGTATCATGTGTGGTACTGGTGTATGCCTCATTCATGTTCCTTATCTCTGTTCTTGTCTAGGATGATTGATTGTGATGCTAGTATATTCGGAACATCAATAATAAGCACGCCGTTGCAGCAACATTTTCATACTAGATTGCAAGGTGGGTATGTAGTAATACAATAAGATACACCAGTTTCAGCCTCTAGTTACTCTTGTGTCATTTATTACCTGGCAACTTCATTTTCGCATCTTATTGATGTGATGGTTATCTCAGTTTATTCATATATAAGAGGGATGCAGTTATGGTACAAATGGGTGTCGGTAGGATGATGATCTTCAATCTCTTTGGAATATATTGTTCAACTATTATATATTTTTTGTTCTTCTCACTCAGGAAAAAGCGATTGGATGAGGCGTGCCTTGAGAGGTATCAACAATACAGTAGAACGTACATCCAGTCATGGATTCTTCAGGGTTAGTTTTCCCACACAATTTTCTTGTGCATTTGAATCTTCATAACCTACACTTACATACTTGCATAAATTAATTGGGTACTTTACGTTTTAATAACCTATGCTTCAAGAAGCAAACTCAGAGCATGCCATATAAACCGAAACATATGGCATGCTATTAGCTTCTCATGCTGAACGAAATCTGGAAAGAATGAGCCTGGCCCTTGTGAATGGCTACTCTTGCTCATATATTGGTGAAACTAGATTAGCAAACACCGAAAGAAAAGGTGCACTTCTGAAACGAAGGTAGATTTGACTTGTTTGTGCACTGGTCTAAATGGTGAGTTGCAACATCACTGGTGCACAGGAGGCTTGCGTTTTGGTTCAAGCCGAACGGCATGAACAAGAAAAAAAACGTCACAGGAGGCTTGCGTGTTGGTTCAAGCCGAGCGGCATGCTCGAGAAAAAAAAAACGTGAAATAGCCATGATGCACCTGAAACACTGTCTTCTTGATGTCCGGCAGGTGTGTATGAACGGGATTATACCTGTGGCCATTAAACTCATGAAGGAGTTCGTCCGCCATGGGCATCGGGATTTTGTCCTTGACAATTATGTCGTTGAGTGCTACATAAATACGGATGTCCATGACTCATTGTTGCTTCTTGACAATATGGACCAAGTAAAGCTCCGAGTTGCCATGGTGTTTGATGCTTTGCATAGCATGTTGTCGCACTGACTTTGAATCTCATCCTCCTGGACGGTTAGCAGCATGGTTCTTTACAGAGGACTAACAAACCAAATATCTTATCCCTAATTGGCTTAAGGCCCAGGCTAAGGATACCTTATCTCTAACTGACAACTTCCTAATTTGAATGGTACTATTCCTAACTTTAAGATGACAGGGATTATATCCCTTAATTGGAGCCAACTAGGGCTTCCTTATTCCTTCTGCTAGTAAAAACTATGCCTTATTAGCCATCTAGTCGTCTGTCTCCTGCATGTCTACATTGGTATCGCCTCTAGTGTGTTAATATAGGTTTTGTTGAATTGGTTGGGCGAAAGTTCAAATTCGCGGCACTTGAACTTCCCTATTGCATTAGGTTATATACTTGTATGTGCTTCTCATGCTACTGCCACATTTGATATGTGCAAGCAATTTCTGGAATTATTTAGGCACTTACCCTTTCAGATGTGACCTTTTAACCTTATATACTCAACCTTGTGAATGCTCTAGGTAAGGTCCATGTAAACGGAAGGGTCGTGAACAAAGCTGGAACACAAGTATCTGACAAGTCAGTCATAGAAATCAAGGCTGAAATCCCGAAATATGTATGTAGGTGATGCTCTAAATAATTAGCTTTATATTTAGGTTCATTATCCTATAAAAATGTAATAGCAGCATCAGGTTCATAATCGTATCATTTGTTGTGACCTAATTCAGGGCTGGGCATAAGCTTGAGGCAGCTATCAAAGAATTTGGAGTTGACTGTGATGGAAAGATAGCCCTTGATTCAGGGCTGTCTACAGGTGGTTTTACCGACTGTTTACTTCAGCATGGGGCATCACATGTGTACGGTGTTGATGTTGGCTATGGACAGGTTACATTACTCATTGAGATGTCCATTTTTTATCCAGCTCCTCTGCTTTATTTTGTCAGTGAGTTTGGTTGCTACCTATTGGAGCAGCATAACTATTTAAATCTCAATATGCTCTACTTATTTTCAGGTGGCTGAAAAAATTCGTGTGCATGAAAATGTCTCAGTAATTGAACGTACAAACTTGAGACATCTTACTAAGCTGCCACAACTGGTTGACCTGGTGACGTTGGACCTATCATTCATCTCAATTCTTGTGGTATGATTTGCTGTGCACATGGTTATGATACATTTACAGTGGCCTTATCATATGCTCGTAATTCACTACAGTTAATGAAGGAGTGCGCTAGGCTGTTTCTGATTTGTTGCTCTGTTCCTTAATTGTGCTTCTATGCATGAGATTACCTTTTGATATGCTTTCTCCACATGGTTAGTGTGATGTAAATCAGCATGCTGTAAAATCAAGTTCATGTGACGCAACCCAATCAACTGATAGAGGACCAGCTTAATTGTGTTGGTGTATGCATTGTAGCTGTAAGGTTTTAGTTTGCATTTAGGGACACTAGTTCAGCTTCACTGATCAAAATAGTAAAATGCATGCATTAGGAAGAAGGCGGTTCTGTGGTAAACTGGTAATAACGAGGTGTACACCCCTTTGCAATTCTTTTTGTGCCGTTTTTTACGTTCTTCGGTATTGTGCTTCTGTTTTTCATGCTCTCCAATATTTTGCATGCGTAAGGGCCTTCACTGTCAGCTTAAAGAAATTACTGTAACACACATGTTGTCCAGTATTTAGTTATACTATCTGTGGATTCTAGGTTATGCCTGCAGTGGTCAAAGTAATGAAGACAGACTCAACATTGATAACACTTATCAAACCTCAGTTTGAAGCTCGTAGATCTCAGGTATAAAACAAGTTTCCTCTTAGGTTTCTTAATAACTTTTCAGTTGATCATCATATGGAAAAGTACAGTAATACTGATGCACAAGCCACCGTATCTGTTTTTATCCTGTTCAGGTAGGAAAAGGTGGGATTATTCGAGACCCTCTGGTTCATAAGGAGGTAAGAAATTGATATTTTTCTTTCTGGTTTACTTCTGTTGCGTATCCTGTTTTGTGCCTTACTAATGGCATTGAGCTTTTCATGGATTATTTGTCATTCCTTTTTGTGATTTCCCCTTGGCCAAGGCTACCACAAATCTTCTGCTTGATTACGATGGATTCCTGTTTTTCTCCCTTGAAATCCACCAGCAAATAGTACACTTCCAAATAAGAAAAACTTCGCCTTGGAATATCGGACTATCCTGAGATAGGATCCCATGCGTGTAGTGTTTGTTTGTTGTTTTCTTTTACCTGAAGTAGACCAACCTATTCAATCGATTCATTACAGGTGTTAGATAGGATAATTTCAGGCGTTGAGCAGTTTGGATTTCGCAATGGGGGCTGGATCGAGTCTCCGCTGAAGGGCGCAGAAGGGAACACAGAGTTTCTTGCCTGCTTCGAGAGGATCCCAATGCCAGAGCCACACACTGAGGCAGAAGCAGGGGCAGAGGCAGAGGCGGCGGCGCAGGCGGAGGCAGAGCCAGAGGCAGTGGTTGAAGCACAGGCACAGGCAGAGGCAGAGCCAGAGCCAGAGGAAACATGATTCTTATTATTATGTCCACGGCATGGCAAGTTTTTTTTTAGAGAATAGCTGGAGAATCCTGAAGTAGACCAAGGAAGTTATAAGAGATTAGCATGCTGTGATATGAGAGATCCTCAATCAAGTTATACCGAGATTTTTTTGCATATGCTGTTGCGAAGCTCAAAAATTGCATTCTGCAAGACCGACAAAGGAGATTCAGACATGACAGGCAGGTACTCAGTTGTATACAAAATCGAAATGGAATGAAACAATTAGCTCCAGTATTTTTTTTATTTTTATTTTATATCTTAGCATAGCATACGGGATGTGCTCCCTGTGCACCGAGAAGGTAGAACACAGTTCCGCTTACAGTCTTGTACCTTTTGTGATTTTGCTACGAAGGCGAATACATTCACCGCAGTTCGTTCCACTGATCTGACGAAGCGATTTGAACTGGAAAATGTTCAAGATGATGTGCAACCTCTCTCTGCTGCTATTTCCTTTTATTTTCATTTTCTATCTGTGCAGGTGGGTTGTCTGTTGTGTCCAACCTACAAGGTTCATCGAGTAGTTAAGAGTATTATTATCATTGGAAATTTGTTACCGACCCTTGTTTCCACTGTAAGTGCGTGGAGAATCTATGTCCTCAGAAACTTCTCTGAAACAGGATAGCGTTGAATTCTTAACGGATTGTGTGATCTCCTCATGCTATGACAAGTCACATTTTCGTATATTGCTGCACCTGTAAACTGACCTGAAAAGGTTCTTGGATCTCCTTTCCAGCAGTGGGTCTAAATTCAGTGTTGGAATGGCAACAAAACATTGCATTTGCATGGGTTCCTAGTCTAAATGCAGGCAATAGAGTGTGATTAAGCACCAAAGTATGTTCCGTTCTTGGAGAACAAGAATCAGATGCATAGAAAATGCAGAGAGATCTGTGCCAGACAGATAGATCCACATGAGCCCCCAGAAATCTAGCTAGTTCCAGGAAGATTCCTTTGCATGATAGTACGACTTGAGAAATAGTACTAGTCTCATCTGCACTTCAAATGATAGATTGCATTGTAGGCTGCTACCATCTCCAAGGTCAACGAGTAGGATAAGTATTGGGCTAGCATTGGACTGGTAAAAAAATGGTTTCACTGCATGCAAGCCAAAACATTTTTTTCTTCCGGATAATCAAGAAGCTAACTGATTCAGTTAACTCTCTTTCTAGATATGAGAATTATCACAAGTTTGGCTATTGGGCTTGGCTGACTTACATTGTTTTTCCCTTTGAGTTTAACACAAACATAGAAC